TTTTTTCATTTCTTCGCATTTCCACCTACTAATCTCAATCAGCGGTCTTTGCTGTCACTTTTGAATAATAAAGGCAAACCTAGCTTATGACTGAGGCCCTAATGGAGTATTACATGAAGTACAGCTTTTTTTTTTAGAAATGTTGCATTGATCTAGTTTTGGGTTTCCCCAATCGTGTAACCAAAGGCATGACTAATTACAGCTAATCAAATCGTTAACAATATAATGCACTTACTGCGTGCTATTCAAAGCATTCATGAAAATAAAAATAAAACGATTTACGACCTTTATTTTATCTTGAGGGAGACTGTGTTGAAGAAACTGATACAGCGAAATTTTTTGAGAACGAAAAGTCGGAATTAGCCTGAAATAAAGTCTCCTATGCAGAGTTCAGCTTAAGTTGCACTAAGCCAAACCAATTTCCGGCAATCAGAGGTCAGATGAGCGACTGACTCTAAATTTCCATATATCGCGTGAGTGCTGCTAATACAAAGAATTTCCAAAATGTAACATCGGAAACCAAACTATAGGACACCTTACTAGGGGTCCACATAAATAAGGCTCTTCAAGGTCGATCAGTTGGGACGTTACTCAAAAGAATAAGAAGATCATACTTGAAGTGAATTTTACTTAGCAGGCTTTGATATACAAAAACCCGCTAAAATCGAATTCCGAAATTGCAAGGTGCCAAGATTTCTTGCCATTTAGTGCGTTATTTTTTATGTTTTGCAGTTTCAAGAGATTTGCCACGGATAGGATGATTGGTCTTGGACGTCATAGACATGCCGTGGACCCATCCACTCTTGTTCCTGAGTGAAAACTAGAGAAGCTGTTGAAGTCTACCAAAACATTCCAAAATGCAACAAGATTTTCAAAGATGATTGGAAAAATTTTTTATCGTGCAAAATTATGATTTTACTCTTGCAAATATTGCTTGTATCAAAGATGTCGGCAGAAATAAAATTTTCAATTGTCCTACTATGTCGTGGTCCAATAAATCCAACTATAAATTGTCCTAAATTCCAAATTGGCTGAATTTGGTCATTAACATAACGCAGACACAATAAATATTTGAGACGCATATCAGTGTTAACTTCCTCATCCGCGTGGCTGACGTCGCGGGCCTTCGAAAAAGTCAGCCCTGCTGCTAGTCGTCTCCTTCCAAACATAGATGGGTTGATCTACTAAAGATATCGAACAAGTGTCCTTAGTACAGTTGCTTGCTCCTTCCAACTCCAATATTAGCAGTGAGTTCTCTCCAGCACGAAGAAAAGCAGCAGGCACATAAAGGGTAATCTAAAGAGTGTGTAAAATGTTGTGAGTAGCGTCTACCGTTTGAACTTACCTGCGGTCCTTCAGTGGCCCAAAAACGTCCCAAGTTATTCCCATTTATTATCGCCACACCTTTGCCCCATCCTCTTGTGTTAAGGAATGTATCCGTTGGTGCATGAACTTTGAATACTCCATGGTACACTCCGTAATTTCCTGCATTTTGCTGGAAATTTTCCAAATGGTAAGTTGTAGGTGAAAAAACAACTAAGATACCTACCACACTTGAAGAAGATGTTGTAATGTTAGCGTAATCATGGATAATATCCAGTTTGCACTGAGTCCAATTCTGCAACGGTTTTCCGTCCATTTCAACATCAGATAGAATGCCCTTAAAAGCGAAATTCTTTATTTTAAGAATACCCAGGGTCAAGTTGAGCTCGTGAACGTATATATCTGTTTGGAGTAAATTAGAGAAAGTTGAATAGGTACGACAGAGTCAGTCGTAGTCAAATCATCCTACCTACTCTTTAGCAGCCCAATTTGCTAGCAGTTTCCTACAAATAATTAAAGCTTGCAAACTATACAATCACAGTCCTAGTTCCAAGCTTAAATATCCAATAGTTTAGAAGTGATTTTTGTAATTTATTCGAACGATCCAACTGAACCGCTCTAATCTAGTTTGAAAAAGACAATAATTAAGTTAATTTAATACAACAAACTCGTTACAGGATAAATCCTCTTGCAGTTGTAAATTACATGCAAGTATAATTTCTGATATCACCTAAATAAATTCAAAATACAGGATGAGGTTACTAACCTTGTAGTCGTTAATAGTCTCGTATGTTTGCCTTCCCTGATTCTCCACAAGAATGCTAAGAGTTGCGCCAGGTGTGCACCCACGTAGGTTTACAGTGTGCAAAGATTTGCCGTTGTACGAATTGACGAATGTGCCCTGCAAGCAAAATGTTGAAGGAGCTTTTACATGAAATCACATTAGTCTTCCAAGCACCAGAGCCATCTTGTTGATTGTGACGAATCCAAAATCCTTAAGCTGCTTCACCA